TAGTAATCTCTTTAAACTGGAGGGTAGCTAACGCTGTGCCTTCCCTTTTTTAAAACTTTCTTTAAAAACTGAATATTCCGCCCACCTTCTCCAATTGTAGATAAACCGATATCTCATAAATTGACCAATCTGAGAATGAAAATAAATAAATAAATAAATAAATAAATAAAATAAAAAAATAATGAAATTATTTCTTCGCTGAATAGTGTTTGTATAAGATATTTTTATGGCATGCCATAGAAAATACTGTCAATCGGAATACAGAAGAGCCGCTGAATACTCGGTGGTTTTAGTCCCTCTGAGAGTTAGTCGCATTGAATGTGTTGGCGCACTCATTGCCGTCTCGAGTCACAAAAGAAATTAAACTAGCAATTTTTCAGTAAAAATTCATACACAATATATAATGTACAAATAACTTGTTATACAAAATGAAAAAAATTTCCAGTCCTGACTGTCCGTGTTGCTCTAAAATTAAACAAACCAGCGAATATCTTTTTGTTGATTGTCCATTAGTAGTGTCTTTTTGGTAGGAATTTACACATTGGTATTCTTCTCTTTGTAAGAAAAAACCCATACTCTCCAAATATGAAGTAATGTATGGTGTTTTAACTTCTTCTTGCTTAACCCTACACCACCTTATTCTTTTTGGCAAATACTTTCTCTTCATTTAATTTGTTCCCTTAATAGTAGGCGGATACCAATTTGTGGATTTCAAAACCCTTGAGCAGAAAAAATTGAAGCTTGAAGAATATATCGTGATCTCAGCCAAACAAATACAGTTCCTTCCTTAAGAAATGGTCTTGCTTTGTTCAAAAATGTTTTGTTTCAAATAATTCTAATCCGGTCATCAAGGCCGATAAACCAACAACTTTTGGTCCAAGATCGTCTATGATGTTACTTTTTCCTTTATTTAAAGAAAAGCGGAAGAAAACCAGCAGGGCTTCTTTCCCCCTTTTTTTCACTTTCTCTCTTTTTGAGTTGTTTGCTTGTTTCTCCTTTTTTTGAATTATTATGAAAGCGCGTTTGTTTAATCAGCAGTATTGTAAGTAATTTTTAGTGTTTTTAGTGTTTTAATAGTTTTTAATTAACGCTACCGAGATTTCTAAAGCGATTAAATCTAAAAGTGTTCCATTATATTTTCTCGTCTCACCCCAATTCTCTATTTTCCAGTTGCCCATAATTCACTCTGTTTGCCCCCCAAAATTTGCATAAACTGTTGTAGTGAAATACTCTTGGGAGGTCTGCATATTCCCAAGAGCATTTTACAACAATAGTTTCTGCAAAATTTAGGGGACAAACAGAGTGAATTATGGGTAAGTGGAAAATAGAGAATGTTCTCAGATAGCTTTCTGCGGTTTGTTGGAAACAATTATGAATTCAAGGTGACTAGCCGCGTCACGCAATTATTTACATTCCGGTGGATTTTGAGCAAAACTGATGAGTAACACAGGCCAAGGCGGCCTACTTAAAATCATTTCCCCAGATATATTTTTTGATTTTCAAACAGGTCGGTATATAGTTAATCCGTAGAAAGTGTTTTTATGCCATTTAAAATTATAGCCCATAGAAAAATATGGCGATATTTTAGTGCTGTAATTGTTTTGGGTGTTTGTTCGAGCTCGTTTCGGGCTCAAAACTAACTTCGATTTATTTTATTTTTCATTCAGTCAGTACCATGAAGACCTGAGCTGAATATAGAAATCATCATTGAGAGTCTCAAGTAACTTCTGCAATTGTGTGGTGTGGGATGCGATCAAATGTTCAGAAAATTCAGCAAACCCAGAAGTAGATTTTTGAGCCCAATCGGGGCGAAATCGTTTTTCGCAAATTTTTCCCAAAAAATCCTGTATTAGCAGAAACTAACTATGGTCCGTTTGTTTTCTAGCTAGGGCCAATCTATGGGCAAAAAATGAGCGAAATTGATTCTTCGACTTGTGCCGGTGTTTGGTCTATATTTATAGGCGGTGACTCTCAATTACACTTGCGACAATAATCTGTTGGAACATGAAAAAAGTCTCGACCATTACAAGGAATTTTGACAGCATCGCAATGGTTACATCAAAAAGATTTGTAACACTTACTGACCTATTTTCGTTTAAGATGTCGCTGTCAAGAATCGAAGGCACTTTAAGGTACTTGATCTTGTCTTTCTTGCTAATTCACTTCTTTTAC